CCTTTGGCGCTTAGAAGGGGGCGGGGTCATTGTTGCCGCTGTTATTTTGTGTGTCGGAGGAGATTCGAGTTGGTGGGGGTTCTTAACAGGGAGGGGGAGAGGGGGTACTCGTTGCGGAGGAGGTGCGGAAGGAAATTTCACGATTCTGGAAGCGGAGAAAGAAGTGCAGTTAAGGTTGGCGGAGATTTGACTGGCGTCCGCGGCCGGGCTTATCGGACAACCGCAAGTTTGACAACATCAACACCTTTCCTCTCCACTGTCTCGTGTGAATCTCTTCGATATCATATACCCTAACCAACCTTGTACAGCAGCAGATAACTGTTACAGATTTCAGAATTTATCTGGCCCCTTGAATATGTCGGCCACCGTCCAAGCACCGTTCCAGTTCCCCTCCACCTACTCCTTCCCGCCTTTCTTCACCCCGCAGCCCAACAGCGCAACCCGCACCTCGCAACTCCAGAAATGGTCCTCCCTGGTCCAATCCTGGTGTCGCCATAACCGCACCTACCGACTCTCCCTGATCGAGGCGATCGATTCGCCGTTATTCCATAACACCAAGATCCGGAAGCGGCTGTCGCTGAGTGATGCGCGCGATATCCTTGATTGGATGGCGGGGAGCGAGGAAGAGGGCGGTGGGGGTAAGAGGGCCGAGTGGATTGACGGTGGGAAAAAGACGGTTGCATGGATCTGGTGGAAGAGGCCAGAGGAATGGGCAGGTGTTGTTGCGGACTGGGTATGTCGACTCGGGCTCTTCGGGGATTGCAGTTTACTTACTGTGTCGCAGGTGGAGAGTACAGGCCAGAAGAATGTCGTGCTCACGGTGTATGAGCTGTTGGAGGGGGAGGCGACAATGTCTCAAGGTGCGGCCGCTCTTGCTCCTAGTCCCTCACTGCTGGGCGATGACTGACCCGGTATAGAATGGCATGGGATGGATCCAGATGTGATGCTCAAGTCCCTAAATGTTCTTGTCAAGCGTGGCAAGGCGCAAGTTTTCGGTAGTGAAGGCCAGGAAGGTGTCAAGTTCTTTTAGGAGATTTGATGTTTTGTCTCACTGTCGATCTGCTGGCCTCCCAGCTGTCTATTGGCAACGCTGTGAATATGGCAACTATCTCCATATGAAAGAAAGTAAGAGATATACAAAAATTCAGCCAAGGGACCCGAAAGAGCTATGCAAGTTCCCACTATCCATACAGGCAACTGCTTCCAACAGCACTCCTAACGCCGCCCAGATTCCAATCACTACTCCGACCTCTCCACCATCTCCTCGTCCAACTCATATGCATCCGCCGCGCGCATTGTTTGAGACATGGCGATATCAAGGAGCCAGTCCACCCGCACAATCCGTGGCGTTTTGCCTGTACCAAGAACCATCTGGCGGAATCGTGGCCATAGCTTGACCTGATCTTGAGAAGTACTGCTCAGCAGATACACATCCCTTCCGCTGTGGCCTTCTTCTTCCAAGCTCTCGTCATCACTCTCTTCCCTCTGCGATCGGTATGAAACACGACCTCGGAACGGAGAGATTTCTCCTCCATTGGCATCCACAATGGACTTGAACGCATCGAAACCTCCGCGGATGGTTTCCACGCAGTAAACATGGTATCCTCGGAGGAGCTTGTTCTTGTTATCCTTGGCATTCGTCATTGTTTCTTCTAGCGAGAAGCCGTATTTCTTTTCTGAGGCTTCATCTTCCAACGGAAAATCGGCAGGATCCAAGAGTTCATCCTGTTTAAGGCACTGTGTAATAAAATCGACGCTCACAATGGTTCGCCCGTATGCCAAAGCGTTGACGAATTTGGGGGTTCGCAGGATAGAAGGGGCGGCAATGTGGGAGCATTTTCGGGCATCTTGAACCACCAAGATTCCGAGGTCTCGAAGTTGTCGCTGTCCAAAGTCAGATAAATGCATAGTTCTTGATGTGTACCTATAAGCAAACAAACCTTATCCGAGTCCTCCTTCTTCAGGTTTCCCACCCATTTCTGATAGCCTGTGATCAAAAGGTGCATCGCAACAGCAGGTCTTGCCTTCTTCTGCTTCTTTGCTTCTGTCGGATCCGCGTCGCTTTCATCCCCCGCTTCCATTGATCGGCGCTTCTTGCTGTTGCTGAGTGTAACTCGATCTTCATCGGTTTTGCGTCGACCACCATAGATCACGCCACCAACACGCTTCAGCTCTTTCTCGTATAGCGCAATATCTGGTGCGATTTCGTGCAGTCGAGCGGTCGCAGCCTCCTTAGATTTGCGACTACTCGTCGAAGATGGAGTATCATTCTCCTTTCCTTCCGATGTAAGTCGCGCACGCACGGGGGTCTGCAGCTTATGACTATCGATTGACTTCCGCGACTTGCCGATTGCTCGCGGTGTCGTACCCTGCGGCTGTGGGACTTCACTTTCGGATTCTGTCACTTTGGCCGATGGTGGCTGCATAAAACCCGAAGGCTTGGCAGCCATGGTATTCTGTTCCTTGCTTTGCATTACTCGCCGCGGGCTTGCGGGAGCTTGGACTGTGCTCTCTGACGGAAAGAACATGCTCTCAAGTACCGACTTATCCAACCTTGTGTGACCCACGACTTCGCCCAGGTTTGTCCTCTTGGGAAAGTGCGTATAACGAGGGTCAGAAACGGGCTGCAACTTCCACTTTGCGTAGCTCTCCTCCAACCATAGATGGTTGACTACGTGCAATCCCCACTCCTTTGCCGCGGCACATTTTTCGCTGTTCCCGTGGGCAGTCACCAAGTGTGTATTCTCTTGCTTTAGGGTCTTTGTGCACTCCGCGCCAGTCGCCGTGATCAAGTTCTCCAAATAGGCTCTAGCCTCTCCGACATAATTGGACAGACTGATCTTTAATCCCTTGAATCCTTGGATCCCTGAGCGGGAGACAGGGTAGTGTAACAAACGCCGTAGAGGAGAAGTCCAAGTGTTGTAGGTCATGATGTGGTAAAGCCACGATATGTTTCCTACATCCTTGTTCAATCTCGAAGCCATGCGGTATGGAAACCCATCTCTGTACCGGCAGATTAGAATATCCGCCTTTGAAACATCGGACGTAACTGAGCCGCCACCATTGTTGATAATTTCTTCGATTGATCCAGATAAACGCGGCCCAATTCCGAGGTCCGCGCAAAGCATGATATGCTTTCCTTGGAATACGGTAAGCTTCGGCTGTGCATCGGGCGATTTGACAGACGATGGGAGAGAAGCTGGATCTGTCGTGGATGCGCCGATGATGTCTCGATTTTCTGAGGAACGTATAGGCGCATCCGGCGCTGCACGTAGGATTTCCGGGTCTGGGAGGGTATAGGGACGCTCGTCAATCCGCCTTCCAAGTTTCAGGCAGTCATCAAACCTATATACCACATATTAGACAGGCCCTGCCACGCAACTAATTCACCTTACCAGTGTGGAAGCACTATTTTAATATTCAACTTCTTGGCGATGATCAGGCGAGCTTTATCCGAGTCCGCAGTCAAATCAACGAGATGAGTGACCTGCTGGGAAACCTTCGCGCTGTAGATTCCTCCTTTGGCCAAGACACCTCCTATTATTGCCTCCTTATCGCCTCCTGGAATATCCCCACAGGTGATAACCACGTCGTTCAGGAACAGCCTCGGATCGGGACTGTACTGTCGGGGGTTGGCTAGCTTCCTCTTTTGCAGGCACGCTTGCAGCCAGTAGGGCTTCACGATAGGTATCAGAGAGTCGCTTGCTGCGTCGAATGCCGGGAAGTCGATGGTGCATGACATGAGATGGGTAAATTCGGTGAGAGGTGGGAAGGTGGCTGGCGGTTCGTAGATAACTGTTTCACCGCCATTTTCTTCGAATCTGGACGCAAGCTGGGCAGTTTTCAGTGTCAGATAAATCACTCATATTTTCCTCGGAGGTACATCAATGAGGGACATACCTGATGTGCGGTATCAGCAGTCAGATCTTTGGAGCATATTATACAAACTTTGCACTGGCTGAAGAGTTGAAGCTCCCCCTCCTGGTCAGCCATGGTGAAAGCTTTGACTCCAGGTTCAGGTAAACGTTCTTTCGGTGGGGTGGCTGGTGATGAGATGGCTGGATTCGCTGGGGGGGTTGTCTATTTCCAAGGAGGAAATGGCCGAACGCTACCAGAGTCCCAGGTGGTTTTGCGATGCGACGCGCCAACGCGCCTTCACGACACCAGGTCACGTGTAGATAAGATACGTCGCAGATCGACTGCCCCCGCCGTCCGGGGTGCCTTGACAGACATCTCCCAGGATCCATTGCAGCTCATGATGCCGATTCAATATATCTCGATTCTTATTTAATACAATGCTCTTAGCATATTATTTTTTCGTACTGAGTCAGTCCTCTACAGCTGATTCGGCCAACAATACTCTCCGTCAAACATGACGGGTTCTACCGAAATGCGGAGTTCCATGCAACTTACCGTTGCAGACAGTGACACAACACTATTACTCCGTACACTGGAGTTCTTTCTTGGTTTTCGATACAGTGTACTCTGTACCTTACTCTGCATACAATCCCTGCTGCGTAACTTACTTTAATATATCTCACGGTCTTTCTAAATTTTGAACGTCGGCCATGCGCACCAAATCTGACAAAGTCTATGAGGTAGTCGATATATATACTACCTTGGTTACTGATCTTGATCGGTCAGTCGTGCCGAGACTACTACTATGCCGAGACTACTTCGCGACCAATGTACGTACCATCTTCGTTTAGGGTTCTATTAGAATTCACCATGACCACTTGGATCAAAACAGACTCATGTCCGGCTATATATAGTTGCCCTGTTGTGAGTTCTTGTCGCCTTCATGTCCGAATATATCTTAAGTAAAAGTGCCAAAACGCAGCACAGAAAATGGACGAGAAAATAGAAGACATGTTACTGCCAACCCTACATATATGATTAAAACACAAAAATAAACAACAAATACTTTATTTATTAGCTGGACACACCACCCATCCCTCTTTATTTTCCTTTAGAGAGAGAGGGGAAAAAACAAAAAGATATGACAAGAGTGGGATTCGAACCCACGCCAAATTAATGACCAGGAAGCTTGAAGCTTGGTATTAAGGTGAACCTTAACCTGGCGCCTTAGACCGCTCGGCCATCTTGCCCATTGATGTATTAATGTTGTCAACATTTGCTATCCACCCTCAATGTTAAAGGCTTCCTGTTGCTTTCGTATGTTTCGTATCAAACCAGTGGCATTCATTGGATGGAAGAGCCCCTACTCCTCCATACAGTAAGCACGGATGTCGATCCCCACAGGACATTGGAACCAACAAATCCGAACGAACTACGGAGTACGGAGTACTAGTACGGACAAATCCCACGGCCCGCCTTCAGATAGCCTCGGTTCATGTCCTTTCCCGGCAGTTCTAGTCCTCCGATTTGGGGAATCAGTGTCTGCCCCTCGCCTCGGTCCATATAAGTTAGCATCTCCTCACCAGATGGCGGCACATGTTACACTACACCATAAGCATTATTATTAAACACTATGTCTCTAGCATCCACAGGCCCCGGCCCCTTCCGTATCGTCGAGCACATCGTCGAATGCCAACATATTAGGGAGTATCCCGCGGCGACGGCCAACGGCCAGGAAGATGTATTGAACCTGGTCGTGAAGCAATATATCCCCATCGACAACCCAAACCCGCAACCGGGGGATTTGACGATATTGGCAGCACATGCAAATGGGTTCCCTAAGGTGCGATAAAAACCACCACAGTCGATGCGAAGCGCGAATGCGACAGAATGCGTTGACTAAGATGGGTATACATACACTAGGAACTCTATGAACCGTTATGGGAAGAGCTGTATGCCCGATCAAAAGCCAATGGCTTCCGCATTAGAAGCATTTGGATGGCAGATGTGGCGCATCAGGGCGAGAGCAGCGTGGTAAATGAGGATGTTCTGGGAAATGACCGTATGCAATCGTCACAACCCACTGATGATCCTGCCACAATAGAAATGCTGACACCAAGCGCAAACAGCGAGCTGGTTCGACCATTCTAGAGACCTTCTTCACCTCATCAATGTGAAGCGCAAAGAGATGCCTCGTCCCATTGTTGGAATTGGCCACAGCATGGGTGGCGCACACCTGTGAGTCCTCGAACTCTATCACCAGACGACGTCGCCTACTAAAACATCCCTCAGCGCACAGGTCTGCTTAATGCACCCACGCCTCATCCATACTCTTGTCCTCCTAGACCCCGCAATCCAACGCGAATCCACACAACTAGACAGTTATGAAATGGCTCTCCGACAACAAGAAGTGATCGCAAAGACAATCCAACTATCGAGCTACCGACGGGACATATGGCCATCCCGTAAAGCCGCGGTGGAAGCCTTCAACAGAAACCCTTTTTATCAAGCTTGGGATACTCGCGTTCTCGATCGCTGGATAAAATACGGTCTCCGTGAACTTCCCACGGCTGTTCATCCCCTAACCGGACCTAAAAAGACCGGCACTGGAGAAGACCAAAGTGATCTTCCCGTCACACTCAGAACAACCTTCCACCAGGAAGTCTTCACCTTCTCTCGCCCCAATTATGACGGACCACCGGGAAAGAAAGTTCCCGTCAACAAAGTGACCCATCCAGACCTCAACCCCGACCACCTTGGTTCATGGCCGTTTTACCGCCCCGAACCGTCACGGGTGTTCGCTATGCTCCCGCATCTTCGTCCAAGCGTTTGCTATATCTTTGCTGGAAAGTCAGATATGTGCCTTCCTGATATGATGGCGGATAAGATGGCTGCTACCGGTACGGGCTTGGGAGGCAGTGGCGGTGTTCCTGCTGGTCGGGTACGCGATGTCTATCTTGCCGAATTTGGGCACCTCGTTGCCCAGGAGGCTCCTGCACAATGCGCTGATGCAGCAAGTAAATGGCTGGGTGCGGAACTCAAACGATGGCAGTCCGAAGAGCAGGCATTCAAGGAGCAGTGGAATCGAAAGTCAAAGCTTGAAAAGGTCACGATTGACTCTCGATGGAGAGAGCATGTCCCCGCCCCCGAACGGCCAAAGAAGTCCCCCAAGTCAAAGCTGTGAATTTACTTATTGCATTTTGGATGAGCAGACTTTCAAACTTTGACGAATATGTAAATTATCCTAGAACATAAGTGATCACTACGGGCACAGACGCCCGATGATCCAGCTACCCTCAATGGATAAATCTAGTGGTTTTTGGGCTTCAATTTTCTTATCTATACGTAGTGTATGATGACGCAATTCCCCGAGAGCCGGCATCTATAAGCAGGTTTATCAATCAGAATTGCACATGAACAATCATCTTGAGATCTTGAGACATGAGAACGCTCAAAGCTCCAGTCTTCGACGCCGTTTATTTTTTTAAAAAAAGATCTAAAGATCTAAAGATCAAATAGACGAAAATGTGACAAGCCGGCTTAGTTTAATTTCTTCGCTACACCATTTTTACCATTTTGACCTTTGTTAGTGATGTCAGTATGAATAATTTCGGGGATGTTCCAAAAATGAGGCCACTGGAGGTAGAATTCCTCTTGGCGCTTGTTCAAGCAATGGCGGAGCCAGATGCCCCAGACAATGTAAAGATATGCACCAAAACCAGTCATCACGTGCCTATACCATGATTAGCACAACGGGTTGTTGGACATTAGGTAATGAGTGAGGTTGTGAACATACCACCAGCCATGGCCTTCGAGGAGTATACCCCAAGGAAGACCCACTTCCCGGCGCCATCCGCGGATCTTCGAACAGAAGACATTGTCCAAGCCCCAAATAGCGAATCCGCCGAGGAAGACGCTCAAGCCGAAGACGACCATAAACCACATGGTTTTGAGGATCTCGACATCCCGCACATTTTCATAATGTTGCCTCTCCTTAGATAGGACGGGCAGGCCCTGCTTTGCACGGACTAGCCGGTCTTCCTCGGTCGAGTGGCGCCAGCGAGGACGAAGTGTCACCTCCATGGTATACATACTGCGTATGATTACCACGGCTGTGAGTATGCCGTATGCATTCTGGTGGAATAGAGGGTCCTGAAGGTAGTGGTAGTAGAGTGTGATGAAGACCGCCAAGCTGGTCAGGAAAATGCCCAGAAAGATGCGAAAGCCAGTCGGCTTGGAGTATGAGAAGGACGCATAGCACATCAGACATGTGGTGTATATCATGGACAGCTCATCGACCAGCTGCATGGGATCTGTGAGGAGACAGGAACTGGTAAGTGGGTTGGATCGAATCGCTTGCACTCTCCAACAAGGGATATCACTTGCATTTCAACGTCGAATGAAACAGGAAGCTCCCTGTACCGACTACCAGATAACCACAGAATGCGACTTGGAAGATGGAGTCATGTCCATTGCGTCGGCAACTGAGAAAGCCCTTGACTCCAAGGGCCATGAACAGTAGGTTTGTCAGAGTGTTGACGATCTCCGCAGAGTATATTGTGGCATAATAGTCCTGTTTCGTTCACATGATGGTTAGTAACAAATAGTATAGCTGTCACAGGGGGGCGCATACCTCTTCACACCAGTTCAACGTCGACGTGACAGGGCTCCAATATCCGTCCCTAGAAGGTGGATACGGAATATGCGGGAGGAAAGACCATAGAGGCATGGTGGACGCTCCGCAGGGAAGAGGGCTGGACAACGTCTCTGGTTGATGACAACGGGGCGACGACAGGTTTACAAACTGGCGGGCATAGCAGGAGGGCTAAAGGAGGAGAAAGACCCCCGAGGGAGAAAAAAAGGCAATTAAGTTGACAACTGGAGGTGGGCTTGGAACTTTCCTACTCTGCCTTACGGGTCGCCGCCCGCCTGCCTACCGTAGGTAAAGTCGACCCGTGACGTCGATTAATTACCATACGCCCGAACCGCCCGGGCCTGAAGCCACGGTTCGGTGCCAACTTTGATTTACCGCCCATCGATTGGCCAGGTCGAGCTGCTTCCGGGAACAATAGACGGTAATATTACGGCGCCCTAAGCAGCCCAGGAGGTACCTCTAGGTAAGGTAGGCACTCCATATTACCACCATGTACCTACTGCGTTCCTCTCGCATGTACCTAAGGTAAGAGGAGGAGTAGTGGCTGTTGTAGATCAACACCTGCTCGGATGAGGTCACTGGATTGGATTGCTGGTTCGCATTAGTACATGCTAGTGCTAGTGATTGTTATGTAGCTGCCGCAGTGGAATTCCCTGTAAAAGTCAGCAGTGCTTTAAGGCTGAGGTACTGTGGTAGGTGGTTCCACATTGGATCTACTTAACCTATACGAATGCGACGACCTTGAGGATATCGCATCTATCCAAGCCCACAGGCAGCCTTGCAAGCATGCCGATGCACAGGCCCATTAACCTTAATGGCCGCATGAGGTGAAGACCTTTCTGTCGGCCAGCAGTACCTGCCTATGCCATCTGGCAGTTCCTTACGCCGGAGTTGTCGGGCCTCGGAAGACGCAAGAGAGACGGCGGCGAGAGGGAAATCTTGGCCGGTGATCTGCAGCCAATCGAGATGCTTCCCGCCCGGGGTTTGATGACTTCACCAACGGCCATCCGCTTCGGGAAAATACTACCTCACACCCCATCGCTTTACACCGTCTCCTGGGGTTTCACTTTTCTTCTGATTATAGCGTGACAGCCTTCCCTTCCTTTCCCACCCCCCTTCCCTTTTCAACCGCGACTTATATCCACGCATAGCCTGCAATGCTCCCGTGCCTTCCATAAATGTGACAGTCACCGCTTATATGCGGTCTATCTCAAATCAAACTCTTCCCAACCCATACTGCGCGACGCCCTCCACGACCTGAATGAATTGACTTCCCACCTCTTCCAACCACATCAACAATCTCCCTCATCCACCTTACCCCCCAGGACCGGCTGCGGGACTCATAGCCATGTCAAACAATGCCGCCTACGCTGTGCCGCAGGTGAAAACAACCTCAACAAGTACGCTCCCATCTTTCCATATTACACACTCACTCAACAACAAACTCTAACAAATTTAACCACAAAACAGCCTCCAAAACAACCTTCCATTTCGCAGCAGGCCTCTGCTCCGGCCTCACGTCCTCCATCCTCCTCCAACCCGCCGACCTCCTCAAAACCCGTGTGCAACAATCCCAAAACGCCTCTCTCCTCCCAA